GTAAATGACTTTTTTTACTTTGTCAGGATCATCCACTCAAACAACCTTGGTATGTCACCATCAGTGCTTAGATCTTTAAAAAAAACGTCTTTCACTGGCACAGGACAGAAGATTCAAGAATTCAGAGAAACATTCATAGGTTAAAAGAAAATATCTTCAAGGCATGTATCAGATTGTGGCTTTCAGCATCAAATACTGTAGTCAGATTTCTTGAATAATGTTTTGTGAGATCCTTAAAAATGAATGGTTATACATTTTTCATTTTTAAATATAAATTTTCTCATTTCCTACTTGTGATTAGGGTTGAAATATAAATTCAGTCCAAAAAAGTATTTTCCTTCAAAAATCTACGCTATAAATCTATCAACTTAGTTCTGTAAACTACCTCAGATAAATTCCAAGTTGGACAAATACACCAGATAACATCAATAAATAACTGTTATTTATATTAATTATACCAGTGATTCTCCACTTTGGGCAAATGTTTGATTCTGTTCTTAAAAGCTTAAATACAAAACAGCGGGAGTGGGGCTTCCCTGGTGGCGCAGTGGTTGAGAATCCGCCTGCCGATGCAGGGGACACGGGTTTGTGCCCCGGTCTGGGAAGATCCCACATGCTGTGGGGTGGCTGGGCCCGTGAGCCATGGCCTCTGAGCCTGCGCGTCCGGAGCCTGTGCTCCGCAACGGGAGAGGACACAACAGTGAGAGGCCTGTGCACCGGAAAAAAAAAAAAAAAAAAGAAGCAAAACAGCGGGAGTTTAATGTTACGAGGAGCCAAGGACATTTGCTGAACACCAGGAAAACTTTAAAAAGCACATCTTCATTCAGTTCAAAGCAAAGAGATTTGACTTCTTCAGAATAACAGAAGTGGAGACAGGACTACAGAGAGACTGCAGGGTTTTAAAAAGAGCATGGAGCCTGGCATCAGGAGGACCAGGATTTGAATCCTGGCTCAGTTACGCGCCAGCTGTGTGTCCTCGGCCAAGCTTCTTCAGCTCTCTGAAATTCAGTTTCTTCCGCTGCAGAGTAACAGGAGTATCCACCTCCCAGAGCTGTTAGGAAGACTGAGTCAGACAAAGCATTTGCAACCAGTACAGCACCTGACACACGGTAAATGCGACGCATTCCGTTCTTCTGCCTGCCTCTCCCCTGTAAAACCAATGCGGCGGGTCTTGAGAACTTAGAATGGCCGTGGAATAGTTGCATTCTTTAAAAAAAAAAAATGTGTTTAAATCATATTTTAAGAATACTGACGGGGATGTTGACACAACGTGGATGAAGCTTGAAGACATTATGCTAAGTGGAATAAGCCAGTCACAAAAGGACAAATACTGTATGATTCCTCTGATATCAGGTCCCTAGAGCAGTTAAATTCATAGAGATAGTAAGTACAACAGTGGCTGCCCGGGGCTGGGGGCAGGGGGAAATGAGTTGGTGTTTAATGGGTTTCAGTGGGGAAGACAAAAAGGTTCTGGTGATGGATGGTGGTGACAGTTGCAAAACAATCTAAATGTTCTTAATGTCACAAAACTGTACACTTAAAAATGGTTAAAATGATCAATTCTATATATATTTTACCACACAGAGACTACTGAAAAGTACTTGTTATTTAAAAGAACCTTATAATAAGTTCTTTTGACAAAAGAATTATTTATAGTTAAATAAATAGTCATGTTGTAGTTTACTTGTTCCAGCTCCCAGGCTAAGGAGAGCACTATGGGAGAAAACTCAAGCACCTCTCCCATTGGGTGGAAAAACTTGCTTTCCACTTCAGCCAGGCCCTCGCTGCTGGGCGATACTCCACAACCTGTCCCTAGTCAGCTATCTCTTGATTCCTACAATTGCTGTTCCAAGCATGTGCAGACATTCAGACCGTCAAATACCTATACTACCTTATGCCAAAATAAAGACCCTCCCTCTACCCTTTTTCCGTAATCTACCTCCTGTTTCAAATTGTTTTTTAAGATGGCCTATACATACTCACTGCCTGTACTCATTAATGCCCACTGCACTTAGCCACTGGAATGAAGTTTCTAATGCCAGTATTACAATTTTTATCACTGAGAGCCTCTGACTTGACCAAATCCAATGGCGTCATTCTACTTCTCATCCCAACTTGACCTCTTATAGTGGCATCTGATACTGAGTACTTCCCTTTTTGAATCTGTTCTTCGATGGGCTTTTCCTGCCCTCTTAATGCTGCAATGTCCAGAGGTCCTCTGCTTGGCCCACTCAGGTAGCTCCCCTTTTGTAATCTCACCCATTCACACACATATGACTCCACCCTCCACAACTTTCTCTCCTAAACTTTGGAGTCACGTTTCCAACGGTCTGCTAGTTGTTGCCATTTAGATGCCCCCTTCTCGGATGTCCAAAACCAAATCCAAGCTTCCTTTCTACTCTCTCATCCAATGGCTAGAGGATTAAAAAAATCTATAGCCATTTGCTGTTCTTCCATCTCTCTCACAACTGCTATATGGAGCTCCAGTCAATAAGCCTCACAAACTCTACTTCCCAAAGCACACTCCACACTGCCTCCCCCCGCTCATCGCCACTGTCAGGGCCCTAAACCAGGCCCTTCATCTCGCTCATCTGGACCACTGCTCACTGCACCAATCTCCTAACCAGTCTATTCTCTTCAGTTTTCTCCCTTCCAGTCCAATTTTCACACTGCTGCCAGGACATTCTTCTAAAATGTGAATCTGTGCCATTCCTTTGATTTTAAAACCTCCAATGGTTCCCCACAGTCAACAGGGCCAACACCAGATACTAGGACTACAGACACAGCTCCTTCCAATCTCATTTCCCACCACGTGCCCACTCCCCAACTCCCATGAGCCTCAAGCTCCTTTTCAACGTCTCAAGAAATGATCCTCGGACCTCTATGGCTGGTACATGCTCCTCCTTCTTCTACACATGGTGAGCAGCTACATATCCACTTCCCAACCTCCCCAGGCCGAAGTGATCACAGGCTTCCGGTCTGTCTGTGAGGCCTCTGCTGCAACACTTAACACACAGCATTTCATTTACTCTGCTCTTGCTCCCAAGCCATCACTGAAACCTACTTGGTGGAGCACCTCAAGATCAGGAACTCCACACCCCACTCGTTTTTCCATCCACCCCAGATTCTCTATGGCTCACGTGATCTGTCTCCCTAGTCAACAGATCTCCTGACCATCAAGGCGCAGCGACTCCACTGCCATGCTGATGTACCATGGTGAGTGTGTCTACTACAAGGCGTGGAAATCATTCATTTGTTTATTCCACTAACACTTTTTAGACATGGGGATACACAGATGAGTAAGACTTGACACCTTCCACTGAGGAGTTCATGCTCTAGTAGGGAAAACAAACACATAAACAGACATTTATATAACATGTTGGAGGAGCCCAGTGACAGAGTGATTCCCAGGACATTCTGGAGTGGAGGGGCCCAGAGGAGGACAATGAACCCAGCAAGTGGGGGGAACTGGGTATGAGAGAGGCCACTGGATGAAGCTTCTGGGACTGACGGTGCCCAAAGTGAGTCTCAGAGAACATTAGGGAAAGAGGAAGGGATAGGACAGGTGGGAGACAGGAGAAGGAAAATACAGCAATTAACCACACTAACTTTTTGTCCACTGCCCAAGTACAAGTAGTAAAAGTCACAAGACAGTCCTCGGAAATATATCCAGACATTTAATTGTGAAAACAAACAACAAAATTGTCAACCTCCCAGGACACTCTTTCTCACTCCCTTTTTGTCTGTCCCTCTCTCTCATACCCACTGACACAAGAAATACTTAATACATGTAATGAAAAATATATGTAAGACCGGTCATGGCAGTATTGACATGTTTAGAGCCCATGTTTTCATGGCCGCTTCAATAGTCACTTCTTATCTGTGCTCTCCATGCCAAAGTTTCTCAGACTTCCCTCACTCCTGCTGGCCTTCTCCCCAACTCCCTGACCCTTTCAGCTCTTCCTGGGCTCACCTTCCACGCACAATGCAGAACTAGGATACATCATTTAATGTTGCCCTATTTATTCAAATATGACGTTACCATGTCAGTCAGACCTTTTTGTGCTAAAAAGAATTTATCAATACTTTTTTTCATAGCATAAAGTCTACACTTTAATTTAGAAGCACAGTTACTACTGATATACTGGTTTCGTTTCTTTAGTTCTTCAGAAGACCCAAAGTTATTCTTAAAGGAAAAAGAGCCCTATCAGAAAAAAAATTGAAATAATCATCATCACACATTTCTCTGCTATATGAGCAGAGAAAGCTCAGATTTCATTTCTGGCTATGTCGGTGTTTTACTACATAATTCCTTGGTCCATCTGATCTCAAATCCTTATAGAAATCTTGATATATACTATCTCACATAAAGTAATTTTTAAAATATTTTCACGTTTTTGTTCCATCTTATTGACAATTATTTTTACTAATTTGAAAACTGATTAAATACATGTACAGAAACGTAACATAAAAGAACACAAAATCATCTTTCAAGTTACTATTTACATTTGTCAGCAGCTATCTTAATCATATTTACTAATCATCCCTGCAAGTTCAGTTAACAAAACCTATGAACAGGGCTTCCCTGGTGGCGCAGTGGTTAAGAGTCCTCCTGCCGATGCAGGGGACACGGGTTCGTGCCCCGGTCTGGGAGGATCCCACGTGCTGTGGAGCGGCTGGGCCCGTGAGCCACGGCCACTGAGCCTGCGCGTCCGGAGCCTGTGCTCCGCAGCGGGAGAGGCCACAATAGTGAGAGGCCCGCGGACCGCAAACAAAAACAAAAAACAAAAACAAAAACAAACCTATGAATAATAGAACTGCACTTAAAGTTGGGAGGTAAGGAGGAGGGAAAACAGATGATCCCTTGTCTTGGTTCTGATCTTGAAGTCATACAAACAGGGGGAAGGGAAAGGAAGGCAGGAGGGCGAAGAGCACAGATGAGAATAGTTAAAAACAACGTGTGAAGTAAAAAAATTATAAAGTAAGTTGATTTCACTCACAGTTAAGAGTCCCTGAAAACAAGTGAAGTAAAATCCTATTCCATCCCTCAGTCCAAGAACTGAGCAGAAGTTCCCTTCCAGGGAGGCTTGGTGGTGCTAAAAGGAGGCAAGAAGGATGTGAGATCTCAAAATCTAAGTGATGAAAGGCATGCCAGCCATTCATCCTCCCACTTCAGGCGCTTTTTAAAAAAAAGTTAATCATCGAATTAAATGTTATAATCCAATTTCCAAAATTGTTCTACTCCACTTAAACTGCTGTCACCTCTAATAATCTTACAGGCAAATGCATTCATTTCAAACATCATTCTCTTCAGATTCTGCGATATCTGAAGCTCTCGATCACTTTACCTTTTTTGTTCCTGCCAGGAATACAGAGGGCTCTTTCTCTAACGCTATAGATCTAGCCCCTCTTCCTAACTGTACTCCAAACCACGCTTTCCCCCTGAGGGGGGACCACGCTTGGTCCTCAGTGCTCTGGCCTGCCTCCCTGCATACGCATCCCTTGAAGAATTTAACCCTCACTTCTGGGATGACAAATGTGAAGTTTCCCTCTTTGGCTAGACATTTCAACATGAGCCCTGGTTCATGTTGCAACTGCTTAGGAATTTCCCCTTGAACGTCTAAAACCAGACGAGCACCTTTATCTCCTCAAAATTGGTTTCTCTTACCAGTTATTACATGCCTGATCATCCTGCAGGCATTTGTTTTTACTCACATCTTCCTCTCTCTCGTTGTGCTGCACCCCTCATGTGCACCCTACTTTCTCCCCTCTCATCTCCCCCGACTAACTCCATCAGTACTCTACCGCTGGATTACTGCACTCGGGTCTACCTCCTATTTCTCCCTTCCTTCAATTCATCTTTGTCACTGCTACCAGATTAATCTTCTGCCATGGTATTCTTCTTTTTCAAAATCATACCGCCATTCTTCTTCTTCAGAAGACAGATGGTGTGGTGGTTTTAAAATGCTCCCAGACTCTTTGACACACCTCTCCTTAAAAGGTGGAAGCTAATGCCCCTCCCCTTGAATGCGTGCTGAACTTACTGGCTTGCTTCTAAGGAATAGAATGTCGCAAGAGAGCTCACTGCTCCCAAATCCCTGACCCACAGAAATTGTTAAGAGATTGTAAATGCTTGTTGGTGTTCTTAGCCACTAAATTTAGGGGTAATTTGTTACATGGCAATAGATTATTAATTCAGAAAGCCTTTCTGCTGCCAAGTGGATCAAATCCAAACTCTCTGGGCACCCAAGGTCTTCCAGTAACTGACTTTATCTTTAAATACAAACACCTGCTTCAGTCTAAGGCCAGTTATTTCACTGACTTCACATGACATGGTAAAATTCTGCTTCTTTAGCCTATGCTAGTCTCACATGAAACGTCCTTCTTTGATTCTGCCTACTAATTTATAAATTTATTTACTTTTGGCTGCGTTGGGTCTTCGTTGTTGCACACGGGCTTTCTCTAGTTGTGGCGAGAGGCGGCTACTCTTCGTGTGGTGCGCGGGCTTCTTATCGCAGTGGCGTCTCGTTATGGACCATGGGCTCTAGGTGTGTGGGCTTCAGCAGTTGTGGCTCACGGGCTCTAGAGTGCAGGCTCAGTAGTTGTGGCGCACAGGCTTAGCTGCTCCGCGGCATGTGGGATCTTCCCGGACCAGGGATTGAACCTGTGTCCCCTGCACTGGCAGGCGGATTCTTAACCACTGTGCCACCAGGGAAGTCCCTGCCTACTAATCTAAATTCAACACTTTCCTTTTAGGCTCAGTTCAAAGTCCACCTACCAAAGAAATTTTTCTGTTTTCTAATGCATATAAATAAACATATATCTGATTTCCAAAACTGTAAGTTATTTAAGGGAGAAATCGTGACTTTGCTATCTTTATATTCCCCATATTAATGGATACATAGATATACTTTTTGTTTAGAATTAACTTTTATGACCTTTCCTTCAAAAAAAAAGTTTTGAATGTCTTTTAAGACAGGACATATGGGGGCTTCCCTGGTGGCGCAGTGGTTGAGAGTCCGCCTGCCAATGCAGGGCACACGGGTTCGTGCCCCGGTCCGGGAAGATCCCACATGTCATGGAGCGGCTAGGTCCGTGAGCCATGGCCGCTGAGCCTGCGCGTCCGGAGCCTGTGCTCCGCAACGGGAGAGGCCACGACAGTGAGAGGCCCGCGTACCGCAAAAAAAAAAAAAAAGACAGGACATACACAATAAAGTTTAAACTTTAAAAAGTGTCAAATAGTTTGAGACGATAATTTGGTAGAATATATTACCAAAAAAATCTACATGGCTTATGGATAAGCAATTCCATTTCCAAGAATCTATTTTATAGATATAATTATACAAGCAAGCAAAAACAAAAGTACAAAGATATTTTCCACAGCATTGTTTATAAAAGAGAAAACTCAGGAGCAACATAAAAAACATCAACAGAGAAAAAATTAAATTAGGGTACAACAGACTACCATAGATCCATTTCAAAAAATCAAATATGTCTACATGTACTGACCTGTTCAAATTGCCATGATACAATAAGTGAAAAAAAAGCAAGTTTCAAATTTCACAAAGAAAATAAAATATTTAAGAATAAATTTGACAACAAATGTATAAAATCCATCTGAGGAAAACTTTAAAACATTCCTAAAAAAGACACAAATGAAGACTTTAACAAATAGGAAGACATTTCTTATTTTGGAAGAGAACAAGCCAACATCATAAAAATGTCAGTTCGTTGTAAATTAACTTATCAATGTAATGCGATCCCCATAAATATACCAATAATTCTTTTTACTGAAGCTGGAAAATTGATACTGAACCGCGTATTAAAACTACATGTGCAAGAACAGCCAGGAATACACCAAACGGGAGAGGGGAGGACTAGTCCTACTAGACATGAAATTATACTATAAAGCCTCTCAATGAAAAGTGTGCTACTAGCCCACAAGTAGACAGACAAATCAGTGGAGTAGCATGGAAAGTTCAAAAACAGACTGAAGTACAGATAGAACTTTAGTACTGTGTATGATAAAGGGGGCGTCTAAAAATCACTGGGGCAAAAGCTGACTTTTTAATAAATGGTTGAAGCAGTTGATCAGCCATTTGGAAAAAGATAAAATTAGGTCCATTCTTCATACCATACACAAGAATATGCTCCAAATGAATGAGGGATCTAAATGTAAAACAATGAAGTCATACAAGTACCAGAGGTGGGGAAATGGTGAATTCTTCTCCAACCTTGATATAAGGAAGGGCGTGCTAACTATGACTCAAAATCAGGAAGATAAAAGACTGATAATTTGATTACATAAAAATGTTTAACAATTTTTTTCTGCATGGCAAAAAAATCATTAACCAAAGACAATAGATAAAATAGGAGAAAATATTTGCATCATATCACAGATATCCACAATAAATAAAAAATTCTTAAAATTGAGGAAATAAAAGACTAGTAACTTGACAGAAAAATAGGCAAAGGACATGAATATACACACACATACATATACAGACACGTACACATGTATACACATTACAGATACACACATGTATATGAACACATGAAAAGATATTAAATTTCACTTATAAAAGAAATACGAATCAAAACTACACTGACATGTTATTTCTGACCTATCAGACTGGCAAAAATTAAACAGTGTGAAAAGTCACCCTTGGCCAGGATATGGAGAACTAGGCACTCTCACGCAGAGCTCCTTGGAGAAATGGCCGCTTCCAGGGCTGAGGCAGAGAAAATAGACAAGCAGGATCATTCCGTGTCAGTAAAGTAAGGATGTGTCAAAGCACGGTGGGGGTATGCAGAAAGGACGCAGGAGCCAGCTTGAAGAGGCTCCCACTGGCCAAAGCTGGGACAATTTGAGCTTCAAAATAAGTAAGGATCATAAGGTAAAGGAAGAATTCATGAGTCTAAACTGATATTTTTAAAAAATAAATAAATGAGAGATAAGGGAGCACTCTTTGTGGAAGTAAGCCAATGAATAAATGAAGAGGGAATGATGAAATTTTAAATCCGATTGGGCAACCATTACAAGGCTGAGTCGGGCAAGAACCATCCATGGATTCTTAAGCCTACAAGTAAAAATCTGAGGAGTAACAGGTTATTAATGAAAAACATCACTCCACAAGATAGTTATCGTCTGAAAAGGGGGAAAGAGTAACACTGGTCAAACCTGGCAGGCTGGGCCTTAACCAAAGGATCAAAGTCAACATGCCCAGAAGTAGGACAAACAGACATTGTGTGCCTCTGAATATGATGAACTGAGAAGAACACAACGTCCCGTGTGCAGCATTTCTGCCAGAAATGCAAAACCTGAATCTAAACATGACGAAACTTCAAACAAACCAAAATTGAAGGATATGCTAATAATAATTGGCTAGCACTCTTCAAAACTGTCAATGCCATGAAACACAAAGAAAGACTGAGAAACTGTTCCAGATGAAAGGCGACCAGATGCAATGTATGGCCCAGGATTTTCTTCCTATAAAGACATTTGGGGAATAACTGATGGAATCTGACTAAGACCTATATTTAGATAATATTATTGTATCAGTGGTAATTTCCTGATTTTGAAAAAGAATAAACTTAATAAATAAGGAGAAAGAAAAGGAAAATTTGGCTGAGAACGCATAACCTGCATCTAACGATGAGGAAACTTCAGACAAACACAAAAGGAGGAATTTTCTACTATTTCCCAAAAAAAAGGCACTATATTCTTCAAAAAATGTCGATCTGATAAAAGACAAACTGTAGAAATATTCTAGAAGAAAGGAGAGTAAACAGATATGACAAGTAAATGTAATATGTAACCCTAGACTCGATCTTATACCACAGGGGAAAAAATGTTATAAAGGACAGTATTAGGTCAACTGTGATATGGACAGCAGATCAGATGAAAATATTTTAACACAAATTTATAAAATAGTTACTGTTGTGTAAGTGAAAATTCCTGTTCTTAGGAAATACACACTAAAATATGGGTAAAGGGCCACAATATATGTAACATTCTCAAATGATTCAGAAAAAATATACACATACACACATATACATACAAAAATACACAGCAAGAAAATATACACAAATGATA